TTTTGCCTCTGAAAAAACTAAATGGCAAGGATTAAAAATTTGCAATAGAATAGTGGTATCAGAACAAGGATAAACCTGAAGTTATTAGGAATTACTTTTCTGAATATAGTCTCATGCACCATCTAAATCTGGTTTCAGTTGGTTCCTTATTTTGCCTAAATAGTTTAAGAGTGGCTTATCTTCATTGTGTCTTACATAAACATTTTCCTTCATTTAGCACAACATATTGTACGCTTTACCAGGAAGTAAAGCAGCCATGTCTGCTCCACTATCTGCATAATCTATTTGAACATATCTCAGTTTATGTTTAGATCATTATGAAAAGTGGAGTAGTATCTATGACTCATGTCTCCCTAGCTTCAGAAATAGTATGTTCTTCATTCGTATAAAAATCGCAGGGCTACATCTCAGAGAATAATTCCTCCAAGTCATAGAACCACCTATAACTTGCTGGTGTTCATAAATATCAGTGGAATTTGAACAGATTTCCCCAGAAATGCCTCAAATGGTATTTCAGGGATGGAGAAGTGGTTGCAACTTAACAGTTTCTGCAGGCCAAACTCTGCACACACCTGGGCTCTTTGTATTTGTTCATTCAGTTCCTCAGCTCCATGTGGATAACTCCCTCATACTCTCTCTTTCAAGGATTCGCTTCATTTTTTTTCATACTCTTTACAACCTGCCATTCACTTGTCCTCCATTTTACCCGTCACCCTAGTGTTGCATTAATCTCATTCAGTATCCCCTACCAACTTGTTTTTCCCCTTTTTCCATTGGGCTCCCTTTACTCTTTCCTCTTGCAAAAAAATCTGAGTACATGCAATGTCTCTTCTCCTCTTCGTCCCAATCTCAAATTGTCCTCTTCCTTTATGATTCCATGTTAATGCCTCTTTGCATAGCTTCATAGCCCCAGCCTTCCTCTGCCCCAGAATACCCCTGTCTTTCATTATTGGGGAATAAATAATTTAGGATGTTCATATCATTGTAAATGTACTAAGTCTGTCGCAAATTAGAAGGAACAAGAGAAAGTTGTCATTATTTTGATTATGAGTGCCATCAAACAATTGTTATGAGAGATAAACTGTTGCAGAGATGCTTAAGGTTCCTTGCAAGTGGCTTGTTTTTTTCCCATTCCAGCTTCTTGTTAGTGTTTTTTTCTTTTTGTTGTTGTTGTTGTTTTTTTTTTTTGTTTTATTTTTAATGATTTCCTTCTAGAATTCTTAGAATATTTTTGAATGAATCAGATGCACTGTTCAAAAAGTTATTCTGGTATATGCACAGGTGCAGGTGGCCAGGCAAGAATAAAATGCCTGGAAAAAGTGGCAGAGAAAAAAACAGACATGTGTTATGTGGCCATTCCTTAAGTCCAGCAATAAGTGAGTTCTCAGCATTTCAAGTAATGTAGACATTCACATGGAAAATTCTTTTTAAGTAGAGTACATCCAACAAAACAGTGTACGCATATATATAAAGGCTGCATATGACTGCAAAGTACAAGACCGACTGTTCAGTTAACACCCCCCCC